ATCTTTCACACATGCATAAAACCTTTGACTTGGAAATTTACATCATAAATCATTTCAGATGCGCAAGGCATAATTATTTGACTGTTATCCCTTTGCATAAGGTTTGTTATATATATCATATGTTCTGATCTTTTGTTTGATCTCTTTTTTGTGCAGCAGGCAACCAAGTTTTGACGATAATGATGATACTGAAACCAGGTGTCAGTTTGAAGAGGTAGAAAGATTGCAACAAAAGAAATCTCGTGAGAGGGAGAGAAGTGTAGGCCATTCTGACGACAGCTTTACTCAAAGATCAAATGGGAAATGTCGGCACCGACATAATCCATATGATGACATCTATTTGCTTGATGAAAGGCATGATAAAAGTTCTCGATCCTCCATTGTTGGTCGAGATCATAGTTCACATCATCATTCAGAGAGATCAAGGTCAGAAATAGAAGATTTGCCTAGCACTTCAAGTGGGCATAGTGGAGAGAAGTATAAGCACTGCCACAGGAGCTCCAAGAAACAAAATGACAGAAGGGAGCAGGGTGGCAGTGATTCTAGTTGGGATCACTATCCATCTAATAAAGAGAAAGATGTTAAAAGAAAAAGAATTAACCATGATGTTGAAAGGCAGAAGGAGAAACATCACAATCACTCAGACTCTGGTTTGAAGCAGAGCCTTTCTGCCTATCAGAAAGAGAAAGGAAGTGAAAAACATTCTAGTCATAGTTCCAGGCGTTCTGGACATAATGCCAAATCAGGGAATGATGAATTGAGTCATGATAGGTTGCGTATGGTCAGTAGGTCAGATGAGGATGCTGAAGAGGATTATCGCTATCATAAAAGGAAAAGGGTTTATTAGAGCAAGAGACCTGATTCTTGAGGTAAATGTGTACATGAAGTTTCATATCAAAACCAAGGTGATCCATACAGTGCTTATTTCATATTCAGTTAGGTAAATGTATCAAGCAGTTTAATCTGGTTAGACGTTACTGGTTTAGCAAAATTTAGTTGGTCAGTTGGTAGCCTTTTTTTTTTATTGTCTAATTTTGATTCTGTTGGTTTTGTGGATACAGATCTAGTTGAACGGCTTTTGGATGGTAGCTTCATGGATTATGTTTTTAATATATGCTTCTAACCCATGTTTACAGTTTTAGCTTGTGCTTAGGAGGCAAGCAAAAGAAAAGTTTTTGCACAAGAAGGTTTGGCTAACCTTAACACATAAGCTTCGGATCTTCTTTTTGCAGAAACTGATGAAGCTGCTGAAGGTATGTCTACTTTTCCACTAAAATCAATACTTGGAACTTGGAGGGTAAAGAAAACAAAAAGAAAAAGGTTGTGGCTCCCTGATGGTTCATTGGTCGATTGGGAATACTCCTCGATCGTATAAATAAAGGTCGTCGGGTTCTGGTTTGCCCCTTTCTAGGACTTGGGCGGGCTGATTGGCGGTTGTTTTTACTGGGCTTGGGCTTGGGTTTTTGGGTAAGGTCGGCTTGGGTTTGGTTAGGCATGCAGGGTTGAAATACTTGTCCACAGTCAGTACCAAAAAAAAAAAAAATTGAAGAGAGAGAGAGTTTAGAAGGTTGGGGTAGGGATGCGTGCCTATGGTTAGAGAGGGTACTTCACAACCTGGAAGGGCAGCCATACCCCCTACGCACCCCCCCCCCCAAAAAAAAAGCCCATTTTCAGTAACAGTTGTTTGGTCTCAAATCTTTCATTCTGGTTGTCTAGACTCTTGAGGAAATGGTCTAGACCCAGAGACCAACTCTATTTTACCAAAAAAGTAAATAGGTAATAACTTAGAGCCCGCTCTACGTTATTAATTTATAAATATAAAATGAAATTAGTGTACATCAATTAGATTTTTAAAAAATTGAGAGGATAAATACTTTAAAATTATATTGTTTCATTGAAATATTATGGGAAAAAATTAAAATAAATTTCATTTCGATTTAAAAATAAGTTATTCTAATTTTTTCATTGAGAGTTTATAAAAAATGACATATTTCTTAGTTTTTTTCCTTTTAATTTTTAAGGGGTCTAGTTAATAAATATTTTTTTATATAAAATAATAATAAATTTTAGAGTACATTATTTAATGCAAAAAGGGAAAATTAAGAAGTTCTTACATGTTAGGATTTTCATCAAGTCGTCAATCACATGAGTTTGAATCACATGGGTCTCAATTTGAGATTCATGTGATGAACGGCTTGATAAACGTCTTAGCATGATAGGACGTCCTGAAAATTTTGAAACTCTTATCTAATTATTTAAAAGCTGAAAATAATAGATTTTTTTAAAAAAAATGGAAAGACCTTTTAGAGAACTAGATTTTTAGATTAGGTTTAACTTCTACAATAGAGAAATTGGGTCAAACCATAACTTGATACTTAAACCGACCCCTTCTCCTCGTGGACTGTGAATTAATTCAGGTAATCAAAAAAAAAAAAAAAAATACAGGTAATATGTGGTTGGACTCAAAGTCCCATGTTGGTGACAGGGTCGCTGTTTTATTTCAATTTTCATCCGAAAAAATTTTATGGTTTAAATTGGATTAGGATTTTGGTAAAAAAAGAAATTCAGTTTAGTTTTGAAAATTTGTCTCTTCTATAACTAGATTCCCTTTTTTTAAGGTTATTTATGAAACTAAGAATTCTGTTTTTGTAATTATTATTACTTTTTAGATGACTAAACTTTACGTGGCTGCTAATAAAAATAACTCCCTTTTTTTTTTAAAAAAAATTTGCTAATAAAAATAACCTTAATTGATTTTTCGAAGAAATTTCATAATTTTATTCATGTTATGGAAATAGCCATTTTACATTTTCCTATCTGTTGAGAGCAATAGATAATGCAAAAGAAAGAACAAGCCATCCCAGTATGAAATATCCAACTAATCTTGTTGGCCCAACGTCCTCAGGCTCCTGTTACACAAAAGCTAAGTTGAAAATCATAAAGTGCCATTGACAAAAGAAAATGAAGAAGAGCTGAAGTGACATTTAAATGAAATAATTTTGAAGAAACTGATTTTGGTGAGTAAGATTAAAGAAACATAAATTGAAAGAACTATTTTCAGCTGGAAAATTGAAATAGAAATAGACTCATGAGTCAAAATTTACATCTTCCACCCAAAAGTAAGAACAACTGAACCAATATTCATAGGATACCATTGATTGATTAAGATATAACTTGTCAAAGAAAGAACTATAGTCCGTGTTTAATGATCAAATAAAGTGTAGATACAGATATTGAAATGTTTTATATTCTAATTTTTGGACAGTTTATTATAAAAAAAATAAACAAAATATTTGGTTGTTATATCACGAAAATATCAATGAACCTTTAAATCTCAAATTGTAGTGCGGTTTGAGCTGTAATGACAATTTAACATTTGACGCAAAAGTTTTTGAGGTGTCAGTTTTGTATTAGAGATCTGGTAACAATACAATTTCTAAAGTACTTGCCTGTGGTGGAGGGTCCTCCGTTGGAGTTTGGGTGATATCGACCTCAAACGGCCACATATATGTATCGGGCTGTTCGCTTCTAGCCAAGCTCCAATCATACATTCTTCGTTCTTCCACAGAAGACAATATTCCATACGATTCCTGCAATCCAAAAACATAATCTTTTAGTCATCCAAATCAAATTCAAGAAAACTCTAACAAACTGCACATCCTCGTCCACCCACTTTCAAAAGTTCCATTTCCATGCTGAGTTCTTCTTCGCCAAGCCCCCTATTCAGCACTTCCTGAACCTTGTTCTTATACGCAACCGTAACCTGAAAAGTCGACAACAAATAATGAGAGACAACGAAGAAGAACAAAGACGATTTCGGTATTGGGTGTTGAGTAATTCACCTGTTCATATGAACAACCTCTCTGAAGTCCGAGTCTACCATAATGATCCACATCTGTTATTGCTGCATTCTAAAGCAATATCTCATCAATTTTAACGTTGAGAACGTGTAATCAATAAAAGTTGAGTTGAGTTAGTACTTATTAAGCGTAAAAATTACACCTAAGTAGATCATCAGTTACCTATGCCACGAAGAGCTCGCTCGACATTGAGAGCAGAAATCAAGGATGGTGGTTCTTTGGGAGCTTCGATAGATCTCTCGGCTTCTGCCTCTGTTGCAGGGACCTCCGCAGATACATCACCGGAGCTCCTAACGCGAAGGCGACTCGGTTTTGTTGGGAAGATGACGGAGGAGCTTTTTGGTATTGGGGAACGGAAACTTTTACGGGAAACGTAAATGGTTGCGGCGGTGGACGATAGAGCCATGACTTTGGGTGACTGTTTCCGTTAAAGACTGTTTTTATGTTGCCTTAGCAGAGATAAGGCGAAGGATTTTCGCCAGGGGAAAGTTATCTTCAGTTTCTTAAGAGAAATTATAGAGTGCGGTAGGTTGTAAGTTGCTCTTGGATTTCGATGCTTTTGTTCGTCCTAAGTGGGATCCGCGGAGATCGGAGAGCATTATCGGATGGCCGATCTCTATTTTTATGATCAAAGATCTATTTTAGGTAAATGGTTAGGTAGTCCTTAATAATTATTACAAAAGAGTCCTTGAATTTTACTTTGTTAAATAACAAATTCTTGTGTCAAGATCATAAATTTTATCATTAAAAAAATAATTAAAAAGAGTTATGATCAATTTATATATAAGTTTTATATAAAATTTTGATAATTTATTTTTTTAGTTTTATTAATGATTTATTTATTTTTTATTATATTTATTAAAAATAATTATTTTTTATTTAAAATGTAATAATAAATCTTAATATTAAAAGTAAAGAAATAAATAGTCAAAATTTTATGTAAATATAATATGTGAAATTTGTGTATAAATAAATTTTTACTCAATTCAAAATATGAGTTATCCATGAATATCATGTACTTTTTTAAATGATTAATTCTATCCAAATTACAGAGTGATAATAATTAATTAAATCATTTGAAGACCTAATTACAACAGTTGAAAGTTCAAGGATTTATATCACAATTTTTTTAAAATCTAAGAGCTCTTGCAGAACTAACTTCTTTTGTTTAAAATTAATATGATTAATTATCCTTTTTACAGAGCCCACCAGCACCAAAGTCGTTGTAGTATAGTGGTGAGTATTCCCGCCTGTCACGCGGGCGACCCGGGTTCGATCCCCGGCAACGGCGAAACACATATTTTTTACCGGTCAGTCTCTCGGCTACATTGCAACACAGAAAGATATGGGTTTTGGAAGAAACGAGGCCTCCGGGGATTCGGGTGGGTCAACTTCGATGGGACTTCAACGGCTTCCGTCGGCCGCTCAGCCGGAGATCATGAGGGCAGCGGAAAAAGACGACCAACACGCTACCTTCGTTTACGATGCCTACCACGACGCGTTTTGGGTATTTGTTCCTTCCTTTAATCCGTGAAAGAATTCTGGAAAAGTTCTGTTTTAGAGACTACGTACCCTCAGGGAGTCTGCCTATATCATGTCCTTGATTTCCCAGCAAGGATGCAATGAAAAAGGGCAAATTTCTAATTTTCAAATACTTCTCTTTCATTCTCACTGAAAATTTTTATTTATGTGTTAGCATAAGTGCAAGAGTTGCAGTGGCTTATCAGAATGAGGTTAGTTATTTTCATAGTGATTAAAAATTGTTTTGCAAATGTATGTTGTTGATTATTTCCTATCACATTAGCCCATTTTCATATTGTTTTTGTTTTATTTATGCAGATAAGACTTCTTGGACTGAACGCATGCTTTATTATGTTTTGACAAACTGGTTCCGGGCAACAAACACTGGGAGAAGGGTACTGTGACATCACCCAGGTTTGGACTTCGGATGATGTGCTTTTGATTCTCCATCTTCAGTTTGGGAGTTTGGAGAAAACCAACTTCCTGACCTATTATAAAATTCAATATCTTTTATTAATTTGTTTTGTTATCTTCCATTGTGATGCTGTGCTTTCATGTTTTGAAACTTTAAATTACAAGAAGTTTGTATGGATTGGCTCAATCCTTCACTGGTTTTTATCTGAAATAATGTGCTCTGAGATCTTGTCTGTATTCATCTGTTCTCTATGTTGATGTTTGTTTTATTTGATAGTAGAAACTCGTGGCCTTTCACCCACCCCAGCTAGACATGCTCTATTTATTGTCTATCACACAGGATTTCCTTTTATTACAGAAAGAATTAGGTTCACATTCTTTCCATTTCACCTTTCTCAATTCATTTTCTGTATTGAAGATTCCAAATCATTGTTGAAGTTCTAGGAGGAGTCTGAATTTTCCGCTTTTGCAGTTCTAGAATTGCATCCCGTGGTGTAACACTGGCTGAATCACAGTATAGTCAGATTCAGTCATCCACAAGAATGGAAATTCCATCATCCTCTGCATCAAGGACATCAATGTCTGTAGCCTCGGGGTTGAAAGAGAAACTGAATGGACTATGGTTGTGTGTAGTTTGGAGATGGCCAATGGGGTGTGCCTATTTTCCAGATATCATACCTGTTGGAAGCGAAGGACCATCATGTTCCTAATTTTTCTTACATGATTACTTTGGATGAAGTCATGTTTTCATTTGTTATTTTCTGGGGTCCTTTCTTGAAATTTGAAATTAATCTCTTTCAATCATTTAGTCCACCACATCAAATTCTCTTTGGTGGTATGACATAGAGATGCTGCCTCTAGCTCGTAAAGTTTTGCAGTTGGTTCTGCATATTAATCTCATGCTGTTCTACTTTGAAGGTGGTTTCCAAGGATAGACTCTGATGGAGTCTTAATCATGCTTTGAACTGCAAAATTTATCAAATAACATCGTTTATTTCCCTCTCCAGGCCTCTATTACCATATATTAAAATGTGCAGCTGGCATACGTTTTGTGTTCATTAGGAAACCAACGAATCAGAGGGCCAGGTAGACTGCCTCTTTTGTGTCTATTTATACTTGTTTGTACACTTAAGATTTCTCTCTTTTGCACATTTGGAAATTGGAACATAGGTGTAAGCAACTAAGCACCAATGGTTTGATACATAAATATTCCATGCAGATTTTAACTATTTATACTCCAATATAGGTATCAAATACTGGGCATCTTTCTTTTAATTCAGCTATGCATCATTGCTGTTGAAGGCTTGTGATGCAGTAACTTGTCTTCAATTGCAAGTTCAATTCACCCAACATCCTTAGGGTCCAACCAAATTTCAGCAGTGTTTTATTCTGATTAATGATACTTTTGCATTAAGTTTCTATGTAATTTATGGGGTAATGTTGTTGTTTTATATCTGGTAATTTAATTAAATTAGTGAAATTGCTTAATGAATCCCCTTTGTTGTTTCAAAGGATGGATGGTGAACATTGAACAAACTGCACAACTATACAAATTTAGTGAAGCTTCTGAAAAGGCTGACAGCGAAACCTGATTTTAAGCATTGGGATATATCATGAAGATATTGGCTACACTTTTCAAGGAGAGGGACTGCATGAGAGAGATCAGTTACACTGTTGTTTGACAATTTTTTCTCTCACGCCATGGATTTGAAGTTGTGATTATTCTTGGTACTTTAAATTACTACTTTAGTCACAAGTTGCCTTCATAGGCTTCATTATGCCAAGCCACATCATATTGGCCTGGTATAAAATGTCTTGACATCTACAGAAAGCTTTTAAATCTGGTTTTGTCGCAGGAGAACTATCTGGAAATATCGAACTATGTTATTGTTTTCATTCTTATTTACTTTTGGTAAATAATAAACTGTATAACTAACTGCTTGGTTTGATTCAGCAAACAGCTGTGTTCAGAAAATGCACCTTGTGCTTGAGTACTCGCCAAAATCCAACAGCCACACCTTGTGGTCATATTTTCTGCTAGTACCATTCCTACTCCTTGGAGTTCTCTTATTATTTTCTCTCACGTTACCTCTGTTTTGCAGACATTATTCTCATCTTCTATTCACTCCGTCTGCAGGAGCTGCATCATGAATGGTGCAAATGCAATGAAAAGCCTGAATGCCCTCTGTGCCGTGCTCCCATAACTCATTCGAGTCTAGTTTGTCTAAGCCTGGCGAAAGGAAGAGAGCTGGTGGCCTAATTGACTAAAAAAATAGTTTAGTGGCTTAAATTGTCGATTTGAGTAAAATTGAAGGGCTAAACATAGGGTTTATTAACCCCACTATAAATCCGTTTACTATAGAGCTAGGGTTTCGTTTCGCGGACAAAAAGCTAGCTAGCGGTGTTGCTGCTGAGTGTTGGATTCTCGTTGGTCTCTGTATTCCTCCTGAACAAACATGGCTACCCAGATTAGCAAGAAGCGCAAGGTCAGTCCTTTCACCATCTGTCTACTGTTTTTATCTTTGTTTCCACCTAAAACTCTTGGGAATGAAACTAAATCCAACGTTCTGCCCAACTTTGTTTAGTAATCAGTTGCTAGCATAAATATGGTTAAAGGGTACAAAGTAAAGAAATAGGGGGAAAAAACGGTGATATTTTGTCCTATGTAAACAAATCTCAATTTATGTTTTCGATTTTCTAGCGTCCAAATAGAGATGGGTATTTCAGATTATTGGTTTAAAATTGTTGTTTTGGCTCACAAGATGATATATTTTATAGCATTTTTGTGTTTTATTAAATTATACAATGATTGATTTAATTGGAAGGGAAGATAAAAGTTGAAGCTGGATCTACTATGTAAAGTTACAATTCTTACAAAAATGCTCATTTAGACTGGATTCAATTTCAAAGCTTTTGAGTGCTATCTATGGTCCTCTATGTTATGTTTTATTTTCTATTTCCTTGCTGTGGCCAAGTGAAGTAGAAGCTGTTCTCTTTGTGCCAAATGATGGTTCGTTTTGTGATTATATGCTTGTTATATTCCTTTGCAGTTTGTTGCTGATGGAGTTTTCTATGCGGAGCTGAATGAGGTTTTGACCAGGGAACTTGCTGAGGATGGATACTCTGGTGTTGAAGTTAGGGTTACTCCAATGCGTACTGAGATCATTATTAGAGCCACTCGTACCCAAAATGTTCTTGGTAAATCCTCCAATTATTTGAGGTGTTTTGACTGTCCTTATTCTGCCTCTGCCATTGCAAGTTTCCATTGGTCTGGGAAAGTAAATAAATCAGTCTGCTAGTTAATTTCCAGTTCTTCTCTCATTTTATTTTCTCTTGTTTCTCTGTAATTAGCTTCAAAATTTATGTGGATCTTACTCAATTGGTTTTTACTCTCTAATATCAGGTGAGAAAGGTAGAAGGATTAGAGAGCTTACTTCTGTTGTTCAGAAAAGATTCAAGTTCCCACAGGACAGTGTAGAGCTCTATGCTGAAAAAGTTAACAACAGGGGTCTTTGTGCTATTGCTCAGGCAGAATCCCTGCGCTACAAGCTCCTTGGAGGACTTGCTGTTAGGAGGTATGTCATTAAGAGCCTCTTAATGAAATTGAAGTATGCAATATTAACTGTTGCTTACTGTTTATTTTACTTTTTATTGCTGCTTCTTTTACATATGTTTTGTTTGTTTTTCCATTGGCTGCTGGCCGTTGATTGCTGTTACTCAGTTACTTTTGATCTACTGTTAATATCTTTGAGTTAAGAATCTTCTGCACATACCTCTTTTTCTTCCTAGTTAAACTGTAAGGATACTGACGGGATATAGACCAACAAACCTTTTGTTACAAAATGTTTTTAGTTATTCTAATCCATCCTTGTCGACACGGGCATTGATGCATTATTACTTGTCTATAGTCCCCTTTCACAGTCAAATGAGACTTGGGGTTCAATATTAATGCGCATATAAACAATTTTTGGAGTTTGTCAGGCTTCTTGTACCCTCCATAATGTGCTTGGAGTTTGGAATATCCTCCCACATCCCCCTTCTAGATTGTATGTCTGTGTATCTTCCTTGCCATTGCTTGCTTTTGTTAGCATTCTTAGTAATTCAAATTTGATCCACAACAAATGAACTGCAGTCCCGTTAGAAATTCCCCTTTCTGTTAAAACTTCATTTGCGTCTTGGAATAGATAAGGGGTAGAAGGAAATGTTATAATATATGGTTGTATTGTTTTTCTCAAAACTTTTGTTAACATTATTCTCATTCATGACAAATGCTAAAGTTGCTCTAATTACTGTTCCTTTACGTAGGCATTGAAATTTATTTTTTCATATTTGTAGGGCTTGCTATGGTGTCCTGAGATTTATCATGGAGAGTGGGGCAAAGGGATGTGAGGTATATCTTCTATTATTTCTGTTTGGTGCTTATGCTCATCTGATGTACTTGATAGTCATTTTGCAAATATGCCCACAGGTAATTGTGAGTGGGAAGCTCCGTGCTCAGCGTGCCAAATCAATGAAGTTCAAGGATGGTTACATGATATCATCTGGTCAACCTTGCAAAGAGTATATTGACTCAGCTATTAGGCATGTTCTTCTTAGGCAGGTTAGTTTGCAAAATGCTGAATGTATCTCTGCTTCCATTACCGTCCTTTCATATTGTCCACTTTCACTATTGGTCTTCTACTCAATTCATCTCAATGGCCGAATTTATGTAATATATGTCGATTTGCAGGGTGTGCTTGGTATCAAGGTTAGAATCATGCTTGATTGGGATCCGAAGGGCAAGCAGGGCCCAGCTACACCATTGCCTGACCTTGTTACGATCCATCCTCCTAAGGACGAAGAAGAGTATTATCCACCCGTGATGACAACCAATATTGAGATTCCAGTTGCTTAAGTTAAGATCTGTTCAGGGGTTGTCCAAATAAACAAGATGTGGTAGTTATTATCTAATGTTTCACGTTTTTGATATCTATAACTGGACAAATATGAATAGATTTTCAGCATATTTTTTATTTCACCAACATCTTAAAGTTTTCTGTTGTTTAATCTTATATTAGGAGTGGGCGTTGTTTTGTTAAAAATTAAAATCTCAGGCACTGCCTCCTTTTTCTTTCCTTTCCTTTTTGTTTTTTAGGAGTTTCTCTAAGTGTGTGTTTAGATAAAACTTAGTGGTGGTGAAGGATCTCTTCGAGTGTTGATATTGGTTGCATAAACAAAAAGTGGAGGATGGGTAAAGATAATATTATAATTTCGCTAATTAAATAAATAACTAAAATAAAAGTTTTAATAATATATAAGAAGAAATTTATTTATATATAAGTTTTATATATTATATTTATATAAAATTTTGATATTTATTCACTTATAAGATTATTTTTTTATCTAAAAAGTTGTGATAGATTTTAATTATTGAAAGTAAAAAGATGAAAAAGATGAATGGTTAAGAGAATTGTAGTGTATAAGGTTTATATATAAATAAATTTATTATATATATAATAAAAATGAATTAAATCCCCAAATGGTGAGAATAAGAATAAAGGACTGGGAAGGTTTCATAATTTCATTACCCCCTTCATCTTCCTTTGCTTCTTTAATTAAGTTCCCCAAACAAAGGAAAGAAACTAAGAGAGGCTTCTCCCTCACTCTTCTCCCCTTTCTTCTCAAATCTCTCAATTTAAACTCACTCCAAGGATATATTTGAATAAAAATTAGTAAAGGAGACTGAAGGAAAGAGAGAAGAAGGGAAGAGAGG